TTTCATTTTCGAATTTATTTTGTCTTTTTATTAATTAGACTGAGGAAGAGAAAAAAAGGCTTTTCGGATTTTCTTTGAATGCGACTGAAATAAAGGAAGCAAATATGGGCCAATTATTCGGATCAAAACTAAAGAAAGCTATACCACGATACGTTGATTACAGGAAAACTGTATCAAAAACACCGGTAATAGCTCAGGTAAGTAAATTTTCTTTCTTTTTGAAATTTAAAAAATTCCAGTTTGAACGAATCATATTTTTCTTTCACTTTCCTTATCACTTTGTTAATTGTTTTTCTTTTTTTTTTATTCAACAAGCAAATAATTTATATATTCTTATAAATTGGAAATCAATTTTTAGGGTTCATGCAGAGTATGTTACATTTTCGCAGCACTATCAACTCTTGAAATGCATATAGCACTCAAAAATAAGAAGCGTCCGGTAGAGCTATCAGTTCAGGATGTAATGGATTGTAGTCCTTTTCAAAAATGCTACGGAACGGGCGGAAATCTAGTACAGGTGCGTGAAAAATTTATCGCTTATTATTAAACTGATTAATTTATATTATTGAGGGATAATTAGTAGTTTTTTCAGGTTTTTGATTGGGTTAGTGAGAATGGTGTAATGACCAGTAAAAGATATCCGTATAAAGAAAATGATAGTGTTTCATGTCCGAGTGAAAGATCGCCGAAAAAAATGAAAGAAGCATTAGCTGGTGGTGTTTATTTATCATATGGTAATGAAAATATTATCAGAAGAGCATTGGCAATTTATGGACCAGTTACTGTTTCATTATATGCATATCAAAGTACTTTTGTAAATTATAAACGTGGTAAGTAATTTGTTGAAAAAAATTATGCAAAAAAAGAACAACCAAAAATAAATCATGCAGATGTAATTATGCAAATTGATAACCAATTTTAATTTAATATATTTTGTAATTTTTTAGGCATTTATGATGATCCAGATTGTCCAACTCATGCAGATCATATAAATCATGCTGTAGTGGCAGTTGGTTATGGTGTGAAAAATGGAAAGAAATATTTCATCATCAGAAATAGGTATATTAAATTTTAAGAAATATAATTTTCACGTATTTCATAGAAATGGAAATTTCGTTTTTCGAATTCATTTCAATAATAAAATGATAGTAGTAATCAATATGAGATGATAAATTCGACGATAGGCTTTAAAAAAGAATAGGAATTTAAGTAATGTAATTATTCGTTGACAACTCATCTGAGATAGAAATATCAAAATAAACTTTTAACATATCAGAAACTGTAATTAACTTCAAATTTGTTTTTCTGCCAAACTATTATCATCACTAATTTTATAGTTGGGGCGCAACGTGGGGTATGAAAGGATACGGTTATATTCGTGCCGGCGTGCTTATGTGCGGTATTGGCCATTTTTCTACCATACCAATATTCCTCTAAGACAGCGATATGATATTTTGTTGCTAATTTTTTTCTTATTTCATTAGCATTATCAGAACTTGAATAAATGATAACTACTCTATCGCTCTTATCTATTATCATTTGATATATAGCGAAAATTGTATATTTGAATAAATAATTTGAATCATTATACTTCTTAATATGATTTTATTCAAAATCTTCAAAACTTCAAATTTTACATAATTCAAATTATTACACCCAATTTCATCAATCAAATTTAACATTCAATGAGTGAGCAAACCACAAATGGTAAAATAAAATAGTATAAGTATAACTTAAGCCAACACAATACAATAATTTATAGTCCTGCGAATCTAAGTATTTCCCTTATTGATATTTCTGTATCAATGATATCATCTGCTATCGATATCATTAAGGAGCTTAGTACAGAATAGAGCTTTTCACTTGAACTTTTATGCATTTTCATGTGTCTATTTAAACTAGCTTTCTGAGTGAAATTCCTACCACATTCTTTACATTCGAATCGTACGTTTCCGTGTGTGAATTTATGTTTACTCAGATCTCCAGCGTATTTGAATTTTTTACCACATAGGTTGCATTCTTGTGTCTTCTCCTCCGTATGTGTCGTCATATGGCTTTTCAGATGGTGACGCAGTCTGAAAGTGTTATAGCACATTTTACATTCGAATGGTCGTTTTTCCTTCTGCATCAGTTTGTGATCGTTCGTATTGTCAGACTGTTTGAATATTTTATTGCCGTGCATCAATTTGTGTCTCCGCAGATCTTTAAAGTATTTGAATTCCTTATTGCATACGTTGCATTTCTGTGTCCTTTCGTCCGTATGTGTCGTCATGTGGCCTTTTAGATGATGGCGCAGTTTGAAAGTGTTATTGCACATTTTACATTCGAATGGTCGTTCATTTTTGTGCACAAATTTGTGATCGATCACTTTGTCGGACCGTTTAAATACCTTATCGCATATCTCACATTTGTAATTTTTTTCATCGGTATGCATCATCTTATGGCGTTTCAGATTGCCTGCATGACTAAATTGCTTACCGCATTCGCTACATTTGAACCGCTTTTCGTTTGCTTTACAATCATTATTCACCATCCCTATTTTGTCATCATTTTCTAGTCCCGCTCGTATTGGCTGTTCGCTTTCGTTTGATACCTGAAATAATTCAAAATGATTTTTGTTTTTAGATTTGATTATTGTTTTTCTGTGATTTTTGAATAGTAAAAATCAGAGGAATTGTGCTAATATCATTGTAGAATCCTTGAATGGCAACATGTTACTTCCATATTTTAAAAATACCGAACTGCAATAATAACTTGAAACAAAAGGTCAGTTTTGCAATACTGTGCTGTCAAATTGAGACAAAGGGATTAACAGATCGATCGATGTAACAAAAATGATTCGATGATTGAATGTGCAAATTTTTTGTGTTTCCCTTTATTATTTGCTATGCGATATGATCGCAAAACATTGACTAAATAGAAGTAACAGGGAAAATGATATAAAATGAAGAGTTTGCTTTGCAGAAAGCAGCCGTTTTTGTTCTTAGCTAAAATTTAAAAAACTTAATTTCCATAATGAGAGGCAATATCTTATTCACATACCGTTACTTGAGCGAGGTACAACGGCAAAACGAACACTACCAAATAATATAACAGATGCATAATCGAGAAGTGATGGGATATCGTTTTTAGCAGACAACCAATACAATGAAGTGATATTTGTAACGCATTAATAGAGAGAACCGTTTTTATGCATTCCGGTAAGCCGTATGATCTATGGTCATATGTAATCACAAATGCTTAATCTTTTCGCATAATTTGATTTCACTTCACTCTAAAATCTTTAGTTTGCTACACTGAATAATAGTAGTTTCATAGGAATGCGATTATAACCTTTGCATCACAGTTCAGAATTTGTCACCAAATCTTTTCAATTCGGAATAGAATGAAATCATTGGAACATTTCAATGTACGTTACGGATAAAAGAAAATTAATATCACTCATTTTGAGGTTTTAAATTGAAAAATTTTAGAGCAAAAAATCTGATTTCGATCATTTTAGAATTAAATAATTTTCCCGAATTTGTGACAAAGAATAGTTCATAAATTGTTATCTTTTATATCATTTCCTTATTATCCGTTTTCATCAGTCGAACTTTAGAAATGTGACAATTAGTAAAATGAGAGACTGAATCATTTGAACAAAAGAACAAAAGAGATTCAACAAAATTCAACAAAAGGAACAAAAGAGACTAAATCATTTGAAGGCGCAAAAATATGAATTAGACTATGCTCAAATATTTTATTGCCGAAATTTAAAAGGCCTAATTTCATTGAAAAGCAATATTTTATGTACATTACAGCGTTTATAGTTTAATAAAATAATAAATTAATGAAAGTAAAATTTTCAAATTAATTAATTAATATAAAAGAATTCAGTTATTGTTTCGATTATTCGAAAATCAATAACAACACAAATATTTTAATCGATATAATTTAATCCAATGGATCGTTCAACGCCTTGAAAATCTGTTTGGTGGTGCTGAGGATATGTGCGAAAAATGATTAAAAATATTAATGACAATTAATTTGAATTTTAATAATTTCAAATAATTCCAGGCTTCAAATTTTTATAATAGCAATGTTTCATCGTTTTTTAGTGACAATTACATATTGGATTATTGCGTATTCACTTCGAATGATTTCATTATATTCCAAATTGAAAAAATTTGTTGACAGTTCTGAACAGCGATGCAAAGGATAACAATCGCGTTTGCATGAAAGTATTTCTATTGATTGTGGCATGTCAAAAATTTTAGAGTGTAGAGGAGTAAAAATTATTATGCGAAAGAATATGGTTTTGTAACTATGTGTGGTCATAGATCATACGGCTTACCGGAATGCATAAAAACGGTTCTTTCTGTTAATGCGACAAATATCACTACATTGGATTGGTTGTCTGCTAACATTTTCCGAAATGACTTTGACGATTTCCATATCCCGTCATTTCTCGATTATGCATCTTTTATATAATTTGATAGTGTTCATTTTGCCGTTGTACATCGCGCAAACAACGGTACGTGAATAAGATTTTGTCTCTCAATATAGGAGTTAAATATTTGCAACAGCTGCTTTCTGTGAAGGAAATTAACTTTTTTATTTCTTATCCATTTCCCTGCTACTTCTAAATATTCGATGTTATAGCCATTCAAAGATTCTACAATGATCTTAGCACAATTCCTCTGATTACTGCTGTTCAAAAAACACAGAAAAACAATAATCAAATCTGCAAACAATTCATTTTGGATTATTTCAGGTGTCAAATGAAAGTGATCAGCTAATGCAAGCAGGACTTGGAAATGATAGCAAAATAAGAGCTATGACTAATGATAATAAAACAAACAAAAATTGGTTCAAATGTGGCGAATGTGGTAAGGAATTTGGTCAAGCACGCAATCTTAGATAGCATGTGGTGACGATGCATACCGATGAAAAAAATCACAAATGTAAGGTATGCAATAAAGCATTCAATAGGCCTTCAATTCTGACAAGGCATAAATTAACGCACGAGGAAAAACGACTATTCAAATGTGACACGTGCGATAAAGGTTTCAATGATCGCCACAACCTGAATACTCATATGAAAACACATACAGACGAAAAGACACAGGAATGCAACGAATGCGGTAAAGCATACAAATATGCTTCAAATCTGCGACGACACAAATTGACGCACGAAAACGTTCGATTCGAATGTAAGGAATGTGGTTGCAATTTCACTCGGAAATGTAGTTTGAGTAGACATATGAATGAGCATAAAAGTTCGGGTGAAAAGCTACATTCTACCGTGAGTTCCTTAACGATATCGGTAGGAGATATCATTGAAACAGAAATATCAATAAGGGAAATAATTACATTCGCAGAACTATAAATTATTGTATTTTCTTGGCTTAAGTTATACTTATACTGTTTGATTTTACCGTTTGTGCTTTGTTCACTATTAAATTTGAATTTTGTAAAATTTTAAATTTCGAAGATTTTGAATAAAATTCTGACGAAAGTTTTGAAACTTTCAGCAATGGCTGAATCTATCGTCAATACAATAAACGATATAACAATAAACGATATAAAAGTACTGTAATTACTATACGTAGTTTTGATATTTACTACTATTATTAAGTAAGCAATAATATTTTTCAATTTCACTAAAATTAAAATTCGGAAAACATATAAACGCACTTTATAGCAATGATAATTGATAACATTGAGATGGCAAAATTTTTGAATAATTGCTTGATTTATTTGTTATCAGTTTTAATATTATTTTAAACTTATTAATCGAATAAGAATATAAAGAAAGAAAGAGAAATTATATCATTTCATTATCGATAAAGTGAATTGTTGACAGATACTATAATTGCTGAACATTTTTGGGAATAATTCAACATTTCTGAATAAATTTTAAATATAAAAAATTATTGTTGAAATTAAAAAGGAAAAATAGGCATTAACAAACTTTAAAACTTTCAAAATTTATTTATCAATTTTATATCACATTGTAATATAACACAAATTAAGCACTTCTGTTCAAATTGATTGTTTTAAATATTTTGCTTCAATTAATTTATCATTTTTCTTAAAACTATAATATACATAAAATACTGCTTCTCCATGGAATTAGGCTTTTTAAATTGTTTTCTGATGGTACCATGAAATTTCATTTTATATGCAATTATATGAATGTAATATTTTTTCGATGCATTAATTTATGCAATAAAATTGGATAAATTTCAACGGTTCAGCAATTGCCTTTTCCTTCGCTATTGGTTTTTAACATAATTTATTATAAAAAAAATACCGCTTGTTTAAAGGTATTTTCATAGTGATACATTTTCTCCCTTGTACGATTATGCGTAACACTTTGTTCAGCAATAATTATGCGTTCTTCCTGTATCGCACATAATTAGCAAGAATTCCGTAACATCATATCCTGATGTAAGATTACGGAAGATGTTTCTCATTTTCAGAATTCATAAGAAGAGAAGATAATACAAAAAGAATGACTCGATGATATACTTTCAAATTGAATTTTATTCAGAAATTTGAAACTTATTTAGTTTTCTTATCTAATTCAAACTAATAATATTAAAAATGAAATTATACAGAAACTTCATACGACGTGCAAATCAATCCACCTTTTGAACATTGCAGAAATTATTGGAAAGGAACAGGCTAGTATAAAAACAATTAAAACAATCATTCAGAGATTTCGTTTATTTCCGATCTCAATGCGACGCATTGTTCAATATGCTTATC